TATTTTTCAAGTAGATTGGAAGCTTCCCCAGTACTTGAACAGTCTTATGTGGACTGGTTTCAGCACTGAGATTTATGGTACAGACATCAAAATATTAGAAAGACTAAATGATTACTAACTTCAACTAGGATCTAAGAAAAGAAAGGTGAGTCCTTCTTTGTTTACTTATGCTTATTTAAGAAAAACATTGAAGACTGTGAAATAACAGATTACACCTGGGGACACATAGGAAGTTTATAGCCTCAAGAGTTCTGAATAGAAGGAAAATACACAGAGGAGTATTTATTAGGTGTGATAGGATGAAGTAGATGTTGAACCTCCAGGAAATCATCTTGACACTAAGATCTATTAGGAATTTTCTTCTAAAGGAAATAGAGGAAGCCCTATTTCCTGGGATAACTCAAATTGTACTTCACAAAACAGTAAATATATACAAAGAACATCCTGCATTTAGAAAAAAAATCAAGCAGATGACAATTTTTTCTACATTTAGGCTGGACAAGCCACAGACTCTTTCTTCTCACATGTATACACAATTGAAACATAAAAGAAGTCATACAAAAGGATGAAACTTTGGAAATAATTAATATCATTATGGTTTTACTTAGTTTGTCTTAGTCAAATACATCTAACTTTTTATTTATATAATTTTACTGAGAAATATCAAAGAGTTGCAATAAAATAATAACTTTACCAGGTGCATATCTCTGCACATACACTGCTACATAGCTCAGCTCCAGAAGGCATCCAGTTTTAAAATCCTTTGCTCATCATGTGAGATGGTAGGGTAATATGCTTTACAAAAGAAGGCAACAAATCAAGGAAAAATGCAATTGAAAAGTCTCTCTCCAGAGTACAGCCATCTTCCTGCTCTGTCACTCAAAATTTCTGAGTCTTCCAAGATCCCAACTAGTACTGTGATTTAGTCTATGTAACAGAATACCTTACTTGCTTCTCTCAGTGAAAACAGAAGAAAGGATTTTATACCAGTATTTTGTAGTGGTGAAATGAGCCAAGGAATTTGTTTCCCAACTCTGAAATCACTATTATCTATTAGTGATAATCCAGTCTTGTTTGCTCAGCTATAATTAACATGTAATTGCATTGACTTTTCTATCACCATTTTTCCAAATAAAATACAGATTTGTTCCACACATGCTGCCAAATTATTATGAAATTTATATGGTGTTCAGGTTCCATGGGTCCCACAAAACTGAATTCTCAGTGTTCCAGCTCAATTACAGAAAGAACCATATCTGTGAAGTATACTACAGCAAATACACATTCTAACCAACAAGGCAGAGAAGACGACAGAGAAAATAGGGATCTTGGTAAAGACTACTATCTGAAGTGACCAAAGGAAGAAGAGCCAGTAGATAAAATAGAATTAATTACAGATTTAATAAAGGAAAAAAGACATCTTAGAGGTTACTTATCTGATTAACTAACAGGCTTTGGGCCAGTTCCAACTCCCAACTGGTGTATATATTTCAAGTATCAAAACAAATAATAAAAAATAAGATTTTAATCTCTGTAGGTTTCAAGATCTCAGACCTAACTTAAGAGTTGATTTCTTGACTAAGCTCACAGCAGCTTCAAAGCTCAAAATATTGTATGTACTCATCCATCTGAACTGAAGCACTTCAACATCTTAACTCAGCCAACTGTCGTATGACAGAGAAGTTTTGACTGGATCCTAAAAAAAACCACAAGACTATGCATTGAAAAAGAAACATTTTGCTTTCCTCTGTTCTTATGTAATTATAAACCAGTGTGATAACTGACATAATTTTGATGCTATTAACAGAAAGTGGGAAAATAATTTAAAATAAACATATCTCCTGTATTTTCATGAAGCAAGCCCTTCCTTCGTTTATTATCTTTTCTGTAACCAGGATAAAAGGTGCAGACTGCTGGAAGAGAAAATTACTTCCATAGTAAACAACAGCATTAAAATTAAAACTCCTTTTCTTCCTTGCTACACTTTCAGCCTTTTGCTTTGCATATCATCTTCTACAGACACATGAAATGTACCATTGCCTTCCTCTTTGCAGCAGTGTTATGTATTTGGAGACTGTTTATGTATTTCTTTTCAGCTGATTCTAGACTAAGCAACCTTCACTTGTGCAATCCTTCCTCAAAGCTTCTGTGTTCCTGAGAACCAGGCATTTTCAGTGCTCTCCTTTCAACATCCTTTAAGTTTAAACTTTACCAATACCAAATTGCACAGGCATATTTGATTAGCGTCAGAGACAACATTCTACTTTAAAGCATCTTAGTAAGCCTTTCACTTGCAGCTGCCTGACTTAATTTATCTGTGTTCAGTTTCTGATCTAAATAAGCCTCAGATATTAATTTTTGTGTAGATACTCAGATTTATTCTCCTTTTCACATAGTTCATAGAATCACAGAATGGTTTGGGTTGGAAGGGACCTTAAAGATCATCTAGTTCCAACCCCCCTGCATGGACAGGGACACCTTCCACTAGATCAGGTTGCTTAAAGCCCCATCCAACCTGACATTGAACACCTCCAGCGATGGGGCATCCACATCCTCCCTGGGCAACCTGTTCCAGTGTCTCACCACCCTCACAGGAAAGAATTTCTTCCTGATGTTTAACCTAAATCTACTCTCTTCCAGTTTAAAACCATTACTCCTTGTGCAACCACTACACACTCCTACAGTGGGCAGATCTTTTCCTAGTCTCTGTCTTTGCATTTTGTGACTTGGACGGTGTGGCCAAACCCCTTACCAATTAAGACTGAGGCAAAAAAATAATTCAGTACCTCAGTCTTCTCAGTATCCTGAGTGATGAGGTCTCCTGTTTCCTTCTGGAGAGGGCCCACATTTCCCCTCTTCTGCCTTTAATTACTGATGTATCTTTAGAAACCCTTCTTAATACCCTTGATGTCCCTGGGCAGGTTTAACTCTGGCTTCTTGGACAACTTCTTTCTATTTCTCCCAATCTACCTGGCCCTGCTTACACCCTCTGAAGACTTCCTTTTTTCATCTATGAGGTCTCTGTTCATCCATGCAGGTCTCCTAGCACTCTGGAAGTACTTTTAAATGTGATCTTTTAACTGACTTCTGAAGTTACAAGACAAAAAAACCCCAAAACAACACAACAAAAAAAAAGGTCTAAATGTGCTGAGTCAGCATCCAGATTAGAAAAATGTAACCATCAGTGGTTAGGATATTTTATCTCTGCCTTAAAATAAGGAAAATCAAGCAAAGAGAGTGGCAGCAACAGCTGGAAACATGTGTCTGTGTCCAAGCACAAATTAATTGTAAAACCTGAGGAAAGCACAGCACAGCTGCAGAGCTATTATGAAAGAAAAAAAAAAAAAAAAAAAGAAAGAAAAAAAAAAAAAGAGAGAGAAAAAAAACTACAAGCCCTTCAGAACTGATGAATAATGGTGTCACCAAGGAAATAAGATCTCTCAATGGAGTTAGAAACATTCAAGCTTAACAAGTGCTTTTTTTAGAGAATGAATTTTCACATTATAAATGTTAGTTGCTATGGATGCTATGGATGCTAGTTTTCACTGCTGTTATTTCTTCCTTCATGATTACTGGAATACCTCCTCTTAGAAAAAAATCTCCACAATTTTAAATGCTCTTAAATTCTGTTAATCCATAATATGCTTTCTTTAAAATATGAGCACTAGAAAGCTCTCTGACTCTTTTGAAGAGGTGTGGTAAGTGAGTGAATACACCCATGTCCAAAGCAGCAGAACTCATAAATTCATTGCACTTTTTAAATTCAGAAGCTACCACCTACTCTCCATTTTCTCCAGTCTGAATGTTGCCAGAATATGTCATTCTTCATCTTTACGATATATAAATTCAGCAGAAATGTTTTTCTGCACCTTTTTCAGACAGTGAGCTGAAGCAGAGATAAACTACCTATGAATCAAGAAAAGATGCTTAATTCTGGTTGCCTAACCAGCCAAAACTAGCAAAAAAGCAGGTAGGAACAGAAGTTTCAACCATAAACTATCACCATTGTTACTTCAATTCCTATTAGGCAAGCTAAGAAGAGGCTCTTCCTTCCATTCCCCCAAAGCAGACTTGCCTTTGATGAGGTGTGAAGACTTATGTGCCTGAAGTCACACAAGAAGATTAGGTTTTGTCATTTAGAGCCACTCAGGATGGCATTCCATCAGCCAAAACAGCCTTCCACAGGGCCACTTCAGTTCCCATTTTAATGCACAAGGTTTGAACTATTTCTGGCCACTGCAGAGCACCCAGGGTTAGGACAAACTGCTTCGAGCTCCATTTCCAATACCCATTGATGAAGAACAAGGAAAGACTTCTCCTGGAATTTACACTCAGAAATGTTTTATGGCTGTCAGGAGACTAAGAATGTCCTCAGGGCAACACACCAGTCATGATGCAAAGAGAGTGAACTTCTAGTCTGAGGAAGAGGTAAATGCACCTGCATTCAGCTTGGCCACTGGCAGTCAAGTCAGTTCACTTGGAGTCAGATGTGTGCAGGAGACAAAATTCATGCTAACTGTTGTGTTGGCACACAGAAATGTATCTATGAAAACTAGCTTTTTAATATTTGTGGTCAGTTACGCTGTAGCAAATGTTAACTTTTGATTTTGCAGTAAACTTGCATTATTAGGAAAAAAGTGTGTAAAACAGAAGTTACGATTATACATTTCATACTTTATAAATAAACATTTATTAATTACCATAGCAATAAGACAGTAGTAAACACTCTGGAGATCAGTGGTTGTGATTCTGTTAGACTTCATTATTAAATTTTTTCTTAAAAAAATAAGTGTTTCTGAAAGAAGCACTGATGACACTGAATAACATGCATAAAAGCCTCTTTGTTCTTAAGTATTTCAGCAATAATTTGTGTAGTAAAAAAAAATATGAATTTTATAAATGAAAGAGTTAAGCAAAACCTTCAGAACAAAGCTTTACTTGGTTGGCCATATATCAAATTGTTAAACCAAAAAATAAATGACAAGGACAGAGTAATTTACCTTTTCACCTTCTTCACCTTTACTACCCGCAAAGCCACGTTCACCCTGGAACATAAAACGATTAAAAAAAAATCAAACATAAATATTCTGAAAATAATTGCATTCCCTAAAATACTTTTATTGCACTGATTTCTATAATGTGACTAAAACATAAGAGATCACTTGGATACTGACTATGTTTCATTCAAAAAGGTGCAAAACTTATGTAAAAAAATTAAATGGCTTTCCAGTTTTGTCAATTATCAGTAGTCAATCATTCTTCCATTCAGCCTAAAGGATCTTCTTGGCTTGAAAAATTCTGAACTATTCATCAGTGCAAACCTGCTCATTGCACTCCTGCTGTTCTTTTGCAGAATCAGTTTGATTACATTGATTTCTATTAATATTTTAAATATAATAAAGTCAGCTGTGAAGGCCTCCAAAACCCAGAACAATTGAGAAAAATATACAGACACAATTTACTGAAAAAACCCTATTTCTTTCACTTTGAAAATGATATTTAATTACCCAAATATGAAAAAAAAACAACAACAAAAAAGCAACAACAAAAGGGGTGAGTTTTGACATATTAATTCAATCTCATCTTATTTAAGCAGATTGAATTATTTGTTTGACTATTTTTCAATAAAGAGACCTGTTACAATGCTGTTCCAGTTCCAATTTGATAACTTCTAGCTCAGAAAAAGATTCTGGTGTTCAATCCTCCTATTCAATGTATTCACCCAACAGTCTGCAGCGTGGCTTTTTTATAATAAGAAAAAATCCTGGTTTAGAGCATAGTGATATATGCTTGTATATTTTGTGAGACATACAGCCAAAATATATACTTGTAACACAAAAACTACCAAGTAACCCGTCCTCCCCCAGTCCCATGTTCTTTTATTTTCATTCAAATCATCCAGGAGGAGATGGTTTGCATGGCTTTGTCAGTCTCTAGAATTCAGACTCACTGCTTCAGTACAATGCATATGATTTTTATAGGTCTGAAGAAGAGAAGACTGGAAAATTTCTAATATGCAAAGCATATTAGTATTTTCTAAATTACTTTCAAGAAGAAACAATGAGCAACGGCTAAAGATTCTTTCACCCTTCAGGGTAATTTCCTTATATAGAAATCTAAGGTTTACTGAAGGTTAACTACAGGCTACAACATACAAAATTTCTAGCAGCATTTGGTCAAATATTTCATTATCAATATTTTGCTACACATTTGGGAATTAAATTCAAAGCCTTGGAGATGTGCAAATGTATAGATTTTAAAATAGATCTGGACTTTTCATCAACCACCTAGAGTGGCTGCTTTTTGTTTGTTTCTTTTGGCTGGGGTGGCTCATGCAATCAACAGCTTAGGGGTCAATTTCAGATGCATGTCAAAGACCAAGCATGCAGAATGTGTTCCAGTGAAATAACTTTCCATATGTGATAGAATGATAGAATGGTTTGAGTTGGAAGGATCCTTAAAGATCATCTAGCTCCAAATCCCCTGCATGGGTAGGGACATCACCCACTAGACCAGGTTGCTCAGAGCCCCATCCAACCTGGCTTTGAACACTTCCAGGGATGGGGTTTCCACAACTTCCCTGGGCAACCTGGGCAAGTGTCTCACCACCCTCACACTAAAAAATTTCTTCCTAATGTCTAAACAAAATCTCCCCTCCTCCAGTCTTGATCCATCACCTCTTGTCCTCTCACTACAAGCCCTTGTAAAAAGTCCCTCTCTAGCTTTCCTGTAGGCCCTTCAGGTACTGGAAGGCTGGTCTCCAGTCTCCCCAGAGCCTTCTCCAGACTGAACATCCCCAATTCTCTCAGACTGTCTTCATAGAAGAGTTGCTCCAGCCCTCTGATCATCCTCATGGCCCTTGTTTGGACTTTCTTCATGAGCTCCATGACCTTCTTATGTTGGGAGCTCCAGAACTGGACACAGTACTCCAGGTACTTTTGCTAAGGCAGCCCAAGATGCAGTTGGCCTTCTCCATGAAAGACATCCAGCAGGACACCAAATTCCTCTTCTGTAGAGCTGCGTTCTAGCAATTTGGCACCTAACCTGTACTGTTGCATGAGGCTATTCCTTCTCAGAGACAGAACCTCATTGTCTTGGTCTGAGCCAGAACCAATTTTATTTCTAGTAATTTCACTTTTCAGTTACGTTTCTTCTAAGTAGCTGCACTTGCTGAAAGTAACAACATGATTTTCAGTCTGCGTCTACTTCTAGAACTGATAATGCCTGATGTTTATAGTTACTGCTAGAGAATGGTATGTAGAACCAAGGCCACTGCTTGGTTGTGTTAAACTTCTTATGCTCTGGAAACAAAAGGGAGTAAAGAAGTCACACCTGTGACCCTCCTATGTGGAGCAGCAGACCAGACAGGGGACTGAAATTAACCAAGCAAAGTATTCCAGCCCATATGTATCATAATCCGAGGATAAATCCGAGGCATCCCAAGGGTCAAGCTCTCTCTGTTCATGACTGGCATCTTGGAAGGACTTCACCTATTCTTTTACCTTTGATCCCAATCTTTTTGTCCCTGGATCTGTGCATTCCTGCATCTAGCTCCTGTCTCTCACTGACTCTAGGAGTCAAGTCCAGGACTTTCCCAAAGCCTGCCCTTCAGCTTTGATGATGACATGAGTGTTACCGGGGTGCTGTGTGATATTGTTTTGTATATATTTCATTATTTTCCTTTTAATCACTACTGTTTAATAAAAGCTGTGCGGTTTACTTTCCAACCCATAATTCTCTCTTCCTTATTCCCTCTCCCTTTCCTTTCTAGGAAGGAAAAGGGGTTAGCAGAGAGCTTCTGTCAGTCATTTAATTGCCAGCCCAGTGTCAAACCATGACACTCATGCTTGGCTTTGCTTAACTTCATGAGTTCTATATTAGCTCATTTCTCTAGCATGTTGAGGTCCCACTGAACATCATTCTTGCTTTACCTTCTAGTGCCCTGATTACTTTCCCCCATCTGATAACATCCATTAACTTGCTAAGAATTCAACAATCCAGGTTCTTAATAAAGACACTAAATAATACTGTCATCCATGGGGGATGACACTAGTTACTAGGCAGCAGTTGGACTACATAACAGTTATTCCACCTCTGAACCAAACAATCCAACCAATTTTCCAACTAGTTTATTGTCCATTCATCTAGTCTATAACTCACAGATTTGACTATGATAATAGGGCTTGAGACTGTGCCAAAAGCCTGGCTAAAGTCAGGGTATACATCATCTACTGCTCTCTCCTAATCCACACAGGCAGTCATTTTATCAGAGCAGGAAACTGGGTTGGTCAGACATGATGTTCCTCAGTGAATTCCTATGGGCTGTTCCAAGTCACCTTCTACTCACCTTCTATGTGTTTAGAAATGTCTTCCAGGATTTGTTATATAATTTTTCAGGGACAGACGTGAGGCTGACTGGCCTGTAGTTCCCTGGATTCTTCCTGAAGATGAATGTGATGTCTGCCTGTTTCCAGTCATCAGAGACTTCCCTTAATCATCATGACTTTTGATAATTTCAGAGAACAGCCTTGTAGTGACATCAGCCAGCTCCCTGAGCACCCCAGGATGCACACTGTTTAGTATCTTGCAAATACTCAATTAGCTTAAGTGCTTCTTAATACTCTCTTCCTCTTCAGCAGGCAATAGTTCATTCTCAGACACTGCAAGGAGGCTTAAGTGACCCAGGAGGCCTGAGGGCAAACTTGATTAGAGAAAACCAAGGTAAAAAGGGCAACAGGTGCTCTCAGACTTTTCCATGTCCCACACCCCATTAAGCATTGGATCAAACTTCTTTTCAGCCTTGGATGCACTTCACCTCTGTTTCAATTCCAGATGGGTTTTTGGTTTCCTAACTCTACCACGTCATGCCTTGGCAATGTTTCTATATTCCTACTGGGTAGCTGACCCCTGCTTCCACTGTTTAATTTCTTTTTGTGTCTGAGCTCAGTCAGGAGCTACCTGTTCATCCATTCTGGCCTTCTGCCATACTCACTCAACTCCCTGCACATCATCAGAATGGACTATTATTGGGTTTTTAGGAAGCCACCCTTGCAGATCAACCAGATGGGTTTCTTAGGCCTGTGGGACAGTCTCAATCACTCCTTGGCTTCCTCTTTGCTAGACTCAATAAACTTAGTTTCTTGAAACTCTCCTCAAAAGTCTTGCTTTCTAGGCTCCTAAATATACACTGACTCCCTGCTGGAACCTCTCTGTTTTCTCCACATTTCTTGAAGAAGTGAGGGTGGAAGATCCCCCAAACATGACACAGCACACCAGGTACAGCACCACCAAGCAAAGGGGGAAAATACCTTCCCTTATCTGCTAGCTGCAGTTTTACAAATGTAGCCCAATACATGGTCCATTTTATTCCCAACAGGAGAATCCTGTTAGCTTATATCCAGACTCATGTCAACCCCCAGGTTCTTTTCAGCAATGCTGCTGCTCAAGCAGTCAGTTCTTTGACTGTACCAATGTATAGGGAGATGAACTAATTCTTTGTTTTTCAGAAATACAGTCTAGATATCCTGATTTTTTTTTGCAAATTTTGAATTAAAAACACCAGTATTTCCAGTTAGTGAAAATTAGAAAGTGTAGAGAAATAAGTTTAGGTAACTTCCATTAAAAATATAACAATATAAGCCACCAGCAAGTTACTTGTCCTGGTTTGAGCCAGAATGAAGTCAATTTTTTTCTTTTACTGATTTTTTTTTTTTTTTTTAAATTCAGTGACCTCTCTTTCAACTAGCAGCAAGTTTTCCAGCTAGTGGACTGATAATGCTGGAATGTTTATGTTATTTCTGAGACATCAAGGACTCTGCTCTGCGGCTTCAGATGCTAAAGGAGCAGAAGAGCCTTATCTGCAGCCTTCCCATAGGGAGGAGTGGACTAGACAAACAGCAAAATTGGCAAAAATATCCATTCCATATATCTACTTAAGCTCGGTATAAGGTCAGGGATCACGGGAGTCAATTCCCTTCCTGCTCCTTTTGCCCTTCTCTTCCATCCATGGCTGGCATCCAGGGAGGACTCCGTCCATCCATCACCA